AATGACGGTATATTGTCCGTATACAAGCATCATGATGCTCATGATACCGCAAGCCGCAAGTGTTCTGGGTTGTGAGCGCTTGTGGTTGAACATCAGTGCCACGTGAATCTTTCTAAGCTTCCATGCAGGTTCACATTTGACTATCGGAATAGTGAGTTGGACGTGGAGCATGTTGCTCAATGGAGCACAGATGATGCCAGGCCTGCAAAGTTAGTCCATAGAGATGCCCAACATGATCATCAACAAACTGTTTCAGCAGTGCTATATTCTCATCCTGTACAGGGGAGACGTGCTCTCAAGCAACGTGAGTCGAGGCACCAGGGGTTTTTAGGGGGTACAAAATCAGCGCTACCTGAGCTTGCGGACAAAAAAGTCGTTGATCGGATAAATCCGACAGCCATAAAAAAATCCATTTACACAAAAATTGTGACACCCTTGTGAGGGTACACAGTCAGCCAACACTGGCCACTCCGCTCAGACCCCGGCTAGTGCGCCTTTCTGAGCCACTTGTACAGCGCTTTGTATAGTGTACAAATGATGACAGTTTGGATGACGGATTGTTTGTTGAAGGAGTCATTCAAGGGCTACTGGTGGCATTGACTCCCGCGGTTCTCGCGCACCAGATGCGCCAGCGCTAAGCCCTTGCCACTTAGCTGCTCACTAGCTGACTCGACCGGCTGTGCTCGAATGGAATAGCAGTAGTCGTAGTAGTGGTCGTAGTAGTAGTCGCATATCCTCAACAGCAGACCCCTAAAATACTGCGCGTGCTAGCATTGCAGACACATGTCCCCAAAGGCTCACCCCTCCACATGCTTGCCGAATACAGGTTAGCTAGATTTTCGTGGATAGTAGCAGCAGCAGCGGACTAGTAGTACTAGTAGGAGTAGAGTAGATTAGTAGTAGTAGTAGTAGTAGCAGCAGCAGCGGCAGCAGTAGTAGTAGTCAATAATTGTATTGGCAGTATTGGTTGCAGCAGCATTCTTGCAGTAGCAGGGGCAAAAGCAAGAGCAGTAGCCGTATCAGTGGCTGAAGCAAGCAGCGTTGGGAGGAGGAAGAGGAAGGGCAGTGGAGGAGGGGAGCAGTAGTGCTGGCTGTGCGTGAGTTGTGCTGTTTGTGATGGTGCTCAGAAAACACATGGCTTGGGGGCTTTGTTTGACAATTCCTGCAAACAAGGGGTTTCGCAGACAGGAGTTCCAGACAAGCACGGTGCAGAGATGTATTCCTCTTGCGCATGAATGGCAGTATTGCAAGAAATGTGAACCCACCACCCCATGTGTTCAGGCGTGATCATTGTCGTGTTGCACTTGGCCTCCTCGGCGAAACTCGTTTCGCGGCTGGCCGCGTGGCAAACAGAGGCTTGTAATCCGAAACCGTGCAAGGTGAATGTGATCTGGGTTTTGCGATTGTCAGGTGGAGAATGTTGGATGAAATCGCCTTCTGGGCTTTCATGGATGTAACTAAGCTCAGGAATCATCCGCCTCCACCTACGCGTCCAGCACCACCGCCACCAACTCCACCACCACCGCCACCACTTCTGCCAGCGCAGCCGCTAACACCAGCACCAGCACCAGCCTCAGCAGCACCCCCACCACCGGCGCTGGAAGTATCCCCAATTCTGCAAATCNNCGTGCGCGGAGCCACCTTGCGTCTCCCTAGACCCGCTTTGGAGGAAGCCGCCGCCCACCACCGCAGCCCCCACAGCCAGCCAGCCAGCCCACCCAACCCATCCCACCCCACCCGCCCAACCCGCGCAACCCCACGCAAAACCCAACCCAACCACGGCAGCAGCAGCAGCAGCAGCAGCAGCAGCAGCAGCAGCAGCAGCAAAAACATGAAAACAAGAATAACAACACGAACAACTACACCGAAGCCATTATGATCACATGACCACCATCAT